ATGCACTTAACAATGATTTTCGGGTGGGAATTTCTAAATTTCGGCCATGTATATTCGAGAATTTTTTTTTTGCATATCTTAGGTACTTTGCTTTCACCACAATGCTAAATTGACTCGTGATACTGCAAAATGTGCCTTATTGCGAAAAATGGCTGACTGTCATGGAGTGAGTCTCTTTGTACTTCATTTCTTCAAACATGTATGATGAAAATTTAGGTTCCATCTTTGAAAAAGTTGGCCAAAGCTGTTCTTGGTATTGATATACAACAAGGAGAACACGACTCCGTAAGTTCTTCTCTTGTGTAAATGTTACATCTTCAAAAAAATTATAACTGAGTTAGTCTTTCTTTAGATACCATTAGTTTTTTTTGTTATGTTGCTAGTATGGGACTAACGCCCTCCAATTCAAACGATTCCATTGTATTTGCTATTTCCTTGTTTTAGATCATTGATGCAAGAGTTGCTTTACGATTATACTTAGCTGTGAAGAAGAAGTGGGAAAATGACATTAAGCGTTATCGTCATTGAGATTGCGGATTGTTTGACATTGTACTAGAGTAATAGTAAGACAAACTGTAAAGCTGCCAATTTACATGTTTTTTGGATTCATCTTGATTTGTTTATTGTTCTTGTTACATTTTACTTTGAACGCATAAAGACCATGCATCACTTGCCCTGCAACGAACTACCAGTGACAGGCGGCGTAGCAGGAGGTCCCAAAGACATGCGGCCTATCTCCGGAGGTAGCAATTAAAGGCGCGAGCCATCCCGAATGTATCTGGCAATTTTCCAAAAGGTGGGTGCGGTTGCACCCACCGCGCCTTCAATGGCGTATGTCAATCTGAACTGTGTGAAACTTATATAAAAGGGAGAAATAAACCATATGCTGAGGTTTAAAAGGCGGGAATAAGCAGCGGAAATCTTACAAATAGTTTTATTAAATGAGAAGATATATTGAAGAGTTTGCAATACACCTTATTATTACTATGAAACCTCCTTCTCCAGGATGGCATACTAAACATTAAGAGATGTGTTTGGCATTATATGGCAATATCATTGTAGATATTTAACATCAGCGGAAGCGAATATATATATATATATATATATA